TTTAAAGAGAGATTGAAAGCTCACCTAATCTGCAAGGCACTGCAATTTCACAAAATCCCCACCCAGCCTCTCTACATTCCTCAGCAAAGGGCCGCCATCCCCTTAATGCCTAGGTGGCCTTTTTGGCTAACGTGGAAGGTCTCCTGGGGCTGCGGGCCGTGGAGGGAGAATTCCACACCTTGGCTGCAGTATTAGCAGAGCCCTCTGGAGACTCTGGCCGACACAGAAGGGACTGCTAATTATTTCCTTGTGCTTTCCCTACTGGTACATGCACCAGGGAGCCAGCGGTGACTTATCTCCATTCTCTGGAGAACACAGCAGTACCTGCGAGGTCCTCGAGCTCCCAGACCTCCATCCTCAGTGTTGTACCTGAACAGAGGCAGCACACGGGTGACTTCCGCCTGTGACATCTGCCGCAACAGCAAGACCTCCCTTCCTGCAGCCCAGAAACTACCTATATGATGTTTTTATTTATGAATAACTGTTCCCCATAAATTGTCAGCAATTAAGACCATATATGGATTTCGAAAACCAAACCAAATAACAAGCTTTCAAAACGCAGTCTTCCCGACTGGTGGGCACCCCACCCTGCAGGTCTGAGGGGCAGCCTGGCTAAGCGGGGGTTTGTCATCGATTAGCTGATTAGCTCGGCCGGCACTGGTGGCGGCTTCTGCACTCGGTGTAAGGAAGTTAGCTGTGCGTTAGGGAAATCTGACTGTGACCTCTAGTTCTGATTAGAATTACAAGTTACTCTACACAGGTAACCAGCACGCAGTCTGCGACAGTGAAGGCAAGTTGAATAGCTCAGCCAGCACTAAGGAAGCGCACATTTACTCACGGGAGGAGGGACAAGACCCCGCACCCGGCGGCCCAGTTTCCTAGGGAATCCCTGGCTACGAGGGAAACCGTCTTTGTTGCAATACCCCAGCAAGGAAAAGGGAAAAAAGAGGCTCCTTGGACAAGATAAAAATAAGGCTTCCAGACTCACACTAAGAATTCCCTGTATGTCACTTTCGCAGGCTAAATTTAACATCCTTGAGCATTACCTATGGCTTCCTCTACAAAGCAGGCAAACTGGGAACTCACTTCCTCTTTTTAAAAAAAGAAAAGAGAGAAGTTCTGGTTTAAATGCCTGGACTGCATTACAGACTGGCTCACTGAGGGAGGAAAATCCTTTCTCTAAAAATTAAAAATAAATAAAGAGGGCAATTAGAATTATAAAACTTTAAATTATTCTCAGGATGTCCTATCTTCCATCGGACAGAACTAAAGTAAACAGTGGCTGCTGCATCCCTTTAAAAACAGGAGCCACGTCGTTTCAAACAAAATATTTATCTCGAGGGTCCGCAGGCGGGTCCGTTTCGGGTAACCTGCCTCCTGAAACGCTCCCCCTTAAGTTCCGGGGAGGGGGGGATTATGCCAGGTTTTTCTTTAAATGACAAATTCATGTAACTGGAAGTCTGTCTCCAGTTTGTTTATTGACCGGGGGCCATCTCTGGGGGCAGGACTTTACTGAAGGGTGTGTAAGGAATTAAGAATTTCAGAACTGGCTTCTGTGAGAGAAGGCAGCTTGTGTAATTAACAGCATGTATGGGCGTATTGACGACTCACTGGGAGTCGGCCATAAAGTTGGTGAAACAGCCCATCCCTCCGAACTCAAGGGGAAAGCCTAAAAAGCACCTCAACTGAAACATCCATTTGCATGATGTCATCCTTTTCTTACCCCCACCCCGACTGCTTGATTTAAGAAATTCTAGAATTTTCCATAAAGAGCTGCCTTCGGTGCAGTTTAACCTCTGAAAGGTGATAAAATTGTTTCCCTGGTACTCGGGGGACAGTAGGGCTTTTTTACTGGAGTTTATGGGGTCTGCTTGCTTTTGCGTGTATAACTAAATTAAACTGTGCCCCCATGACTTGGTGGTCCCCCTTCCGAAACTAAAGGGAATGCAACGGAGGGGTCAACTTTCACCTGGGTTAGAGGGGCTGGAACTGCTGACCAGCTAGTAATGGTGACCCAGTGCCCTCACACCAGGAAAACAGGCCGGTCAGCTTAGCTGGGGTCCGAGGGGAGCAACTCCCTGACTAGCCAGAGGCTCGCTCCCCTCCGTCTGCGCCCCGCCCGGCAGGCATGACCCGTATTTTTTTCCATCCCTAGCACATGCGTTTTCTTTTCATCTTTATTCACATCGCGGTTCCGTCACGTTGCCTTAGACCACGATGCCTAAAAGGACGTTTCAAAGGCAAAAGTGCCCCTTGATCCAGCCAGAAGTACCTAACTCCTAGCCTTCCCATCATTTAAGTATCCCCTCTATGTCCCTTCAGGCACAACTATTGATTTTTAAAGAGGAAAACGATGATTTGCCCATAACATTAATTCCAAGGGTGGGGGGGATGAGTAATTATTAACAAGGGCTGCCTCTTCTAACTTTGTTTTGTGAGAGAATATTATTGAAACAATGTTTCTTTAATAGTTAAAACACCACCCTGCCTTGGTGCATTGCGGTGAAATCTGCTGGGGGGTGGGGGGGGGTGCTCTGCAGTGGTGGGTGTCACCTGACCAAGGGGTGGCCGCAGCCCGTGTCAGCCATGTTGGGGACCCACTGCACCAAAGCCTGCGGCAGACCTGTCCCGGGGCCAGCCAGGCATCTTTCCTGGGGAAGGGGAGGTGTTTTCTTCACATGACACTGGTGCTTACTGCTATTACTATTATGATTTGTTGCTGCAACAAATATTAAAAGGAGGGAGGGGGAAATCCCTAAAAGAGCTCTCCCCGGCATTTTCTAATATGCAGGCTGAAAAAATTAAGTGAAAATTGGCTGCCCAGTCTCCCAAGCTACCTAAACTTCCTCAAGGTTAGTATCCAGTGTGTCCCTGTCCCTGGTGCGGCTTAGACACTTACTCTCCATTAAACCCATTAACATGCAGAATCCTCATTTGCTTGACAATGGTGCTTTTACCAGACTCTCCCGCACCTAGAAAAGGAAAGTGAGTCTCAGGTTATGAAGGAGGCATGTTACACACTCCGGGCAGTGAGAGGACTGTTGCTTTCCCGCAGAAGCGACACAGAGAAACAAGCAAACAAAATAAAGACGTGCAATTTTCATAGACATTTTGACGCATCAAAAATATAATAAATGTCCAACTTTGTGTCCCTGCAGTATTTCACCATTAATATAACAAACAAGAATTAAAGGTTTGGGCTGTTTTAAAATTTGTGGGGTGGGGAAGCAAAGGGGGAGGAGAAAGTGATGCAATTTTGTCATTTTGGGGAGGGGGTGCGAGAAAATTGAAGTTCAAACTGTGAAACTGAATCCTTGAAACTGAGAATTCAGGTAAATTGCACACATGAATGTGTAGAGCCATATAATTCATTGTTTGTCAGATGCTTCATGGTTAAATACCCAGGACCCACCACCAGTGCCCAGACACTGCAGTCTGACGCAGCACTTGCCTCCCGAGCACTGTCCCAAAGCAGATGCTCTCGGGCAGGCAACCCCCCTCCCCCCAAAGGCTACTGAAAATTCAGTGCCTCAAACCGCAGCCTGGAATTTTACCCAACCCCCCCCCCCCCCCGCCTTCTCTCTGGATTCAGCAACCATGTTATACGGGAGGGGGGAGTGGTAGAAGACCACCAATTTTATCTTCTGGAAAAACACATTTTAATACCAAATATAGTGTTTGAGAACCACATTAACATGCAGCAACTCTAATAAGAGTTAAAAACTTTAATCGTAAAGAAAAATATACCTAGAAACCACTGCGTTTTCAAAGATGTCAAGCCCTTCCCAGCTAAAAGTAAGAAGGGTGACATATCGCCATTTAAAATGACCTTACCTTTATAAGAATAGTGAAAAACCACATTTCCAGGCTAGAAGGAGGGCTGCTATTTTTTTTTTTTCTTTTTTGTAAATACACACTGTCCCACAAATAATTCTGTGTGAGGCGTTTTTTACCCTTCTCTCACACAAACCTGTTTGGGGTTTTTTTCTTTACCTCCCCACCCCCTTACTTTTCTTAATTGTTTTGTTTTACTTCCCAGAGAGTAAAGCAGTCCTCCTTCTCCTGCCTTTTCACAAGGCTGTAATCAGTACCTGGGAAAGTTAAAATGTTTCTAAAGAAACATTGATTTCAAAGCAAACACAATCTTAATGAGTCTCACTCTCATACATTAAAATATTAAAGGCATTATTAGGAGATTCCATGAAGAGAAAGCATAAAATTACTCAAGAATCTCCAATATTCTTATTTCAGAGGTGTTAGGATTTGTAATACTGCTTTTAGAGGCACGAAACAGATCTGTGCCTCAGTTTCCACGTATATGAAATAAGAGAATTGGGCTGAAAAAGTTTTTTTGTGGTACATAATTCACTATTAAATTAAGATGGATTAAAAAGAGGACTCCGGACATCATTGTTTCCTCTTTTTTTGGGGGGGGGGGGTATTTGGTGAGAATCACCTTAAAAATGCAAAATGTTTTGCACTGGTTAGGGCTGCAGACACCTGTGCCAGAGGCTATCAATAAATTGTGATAAAATGTAGCCATATAGGACATCTGGGGAAGGTGAGCCCAGTGATGCAAGGTGTGTTCAAAAGTAACAGTCTCAAATTAAGGGGAGACTTTGTGATTATTGCACAAAGGTGTTAGAAATTTAAGGTACCATTAGCATACTTGTTTCAAATTAGTATTCAGGTAACTAGATAGCGTCCAAGGAAAAGATTCTAGACTTTTCCAGGCTTATACTTTGAAATCAAGTTTATGCATATTATTCTTCACATAGTATAATTCTGCCTTTACAAGTTTTAAATAAGACCTCAACATATGTATCATTTAATTACTGAAATTGCAAGTGCACAAACACCAAAAAGACTTATTTACACTTAATAATTTTCTGCTTTATATAAACCTGGACTCAGGAGAACAAAGACATAACCCATCCAAACAAGCAAAGCAAACACCACAAAGAAAAGCAGCCTTTACACTTTATTCTTTATAACTAAGCTGTTTTGTTGAAGTGTGACCATGAACTAGGTCTTAACCTACCAAATTCACCATTCAGATAACCAAATTACCGAGGAAGTGGAAAACTTCCATACTAATTAATGCTTGTGTAATTCTTCTGGTCATTTCACCACTTTTTTTAAATGCTTTTTTTGTTTTATTTTAACTTCTCCCCCCCTCCCTCCCCAAAGCAGCACCTTTAAGAAAAAAGGAGGAAAGGTCATCTCAAATTCCACCCCCCTTTTTGGCCGAAGTAAAAACCGCAATCAAGAGAGAAAACCCAGAACCAAACAACCAAATGTCACTTGACAAACAACTAATTAACATCTTTTCATCTCCTCCACCTGGAAAAAGGGTTTCCTTAAAGCGCACTCGACCCCCTCCCCCCTTGAAAAGGACAAAAAACGCCATTTCCAGACCCAGAAGCCATTTACAGACAAATGTCATTTTCCAGTTCTGATTTGTGAATTGCCCCCCCTTTTCCACAAAGTACTCTCAATGTGGAGGACTAACAGGAAAATATGTATGTTAATGGTTTATTGGGGGGAGGCGATGCTGCTGGGGGGTGGGGTGAGGGCAGCTGCTACAATTAATTCTCTTCTTTGCTTTTTAAAAAGCCTGCATGTCTGGAAGGGGGAAAAAAGGTCATACTGTAAAAATGACGTGTCATTTGGCTTCACTGGGCACTTAGCGTACCAACTCCATTTTTTTTTTTTATTTGATTCTCCTTCCCTTCTTTCCAAGGCCGGGCCGGGCCCAGGACACGTCTGCTCCGCGCACAGTGTGTCCGGCCTGAAACGCACCAAGTCGCGCCCAGCGCCGCCGCTCTCCCTCCTCCCCCACCCCCACTCCG